TATTATGGGTAATTTAGATATGAACATTTTCTCATTATTAGGTTAGTTAGATTTAATTTTTTAGGTTAGATTTACGTTACGCTAGATTGTTAAGAATAAACAATTAACCCAGATTAAGTTAACCAAGATTAAGTTAACCCAGATTAAGTTAACTCTCACCCTCTACTAGGTTAATGGTGCCAATAACATTGTTCTTGTAGTAAATAAGTGGGAACTGCATCGACTCTCCTACGGCTTTCATGGCGGCAAAGTGGATCACATAGTCAATCTTGTGCTGTGGGAAAATAAAGCTTTGTGAGGTTCAGCTTAGTTCTGATTCAAGCTTTGTGAGGTTAAGCTGGGTTCAGAATCAAGGTTTGTGAGGTTAAGCTTAGTTCTGAATCAAATTATGAGGTTAAGCTTTGGTTCTAAATCAAAATATGCAAGATTAAGCTGAGTTCAGATTCAAAACAATTTAAAATAAGCTTAGTTCAGAATCAAAATACCTTAAATTAAGCTAATCTTGTGCTGTAGGAAAACAAAGCTTTTGTGAAAGGTTAAGCTGGGTTCTCAATCACACCCTAACCTACCCACATCCACACCCTAATATAACCCAACCTAACCACCAACACTTACCAAAACCTAGCATGGCTTAACCAACACACCAAGCCTAACCTACCAAACCCTCAACTAACAACACTAACAAAACCTGACCTGACCTCAAATTACCTTGGCAAAATCCATGTACAGCTTCACCATCCAGCAAATCACACTCGTAAAAGATAACAGCCTTCCCGGTAATCTCTTGGACCCGACGCAATGCTCCTGATCGGCTATTGGTCAGGTTATCGATGGTAATGACCTGGTAGCCCTCGTTAAGCAGGTCAATGATGCAATGTGACCCGATGTAACCAGTTCCTCCTGTGACAAAGACCGTCTTGTTGTTGTTGTTAGTCGTCATTGTTGATTCTGTAGGAGATATTTTAATTGGTTAGGTTTTGGTTGGGTTTGGTTGGGTTTGTTCGGGTTTTAGCTGAGGTTTGGTTAGTTTTGGTTTGGTTTGGTTGGATTTGGTTAGGTTAGGTTAGGTTTGGTTAAGTTTGGTTAGGTTTGGTTAGGTTTGGTTAGGCTTTGGTTAGGTTTGGTTTGGTTTGGTTGGGTTTGGTTTAGGTTAGGTTAGGTTTGGTTTGGTTTTGGTTGGGTTTGGTTAGGTTAGGTTAGGTTTGGTTAAGTTTGGTTAGGTTTGGTTAGGTTTAGGTTAGGTTTGGTTAGGTTAGGTTACATAGCGGTATTCCTTCTGACCGCTGTGACCCGGACTAAGGAGGAGATTGTAATAATCCTTGCTCTTAGTTATGCATTCTATACACACACACACACACACACACACACACACACACGCACACACACACAAAATTTCCCCCACATATGACAATGTGTAATATCCACCCCCCACACCTGATAACACTGAGAGTGTGGGGGTAGAGGAAGGAGAAGTGAGATGGAGGGAGGGGGTGTGGGGGAGAGAGGGGAAGGAGGGAGGAAGATGCAGGAGGAGGGTAGAAGGTCTTATGTCTTATCAACTATGAGATAAAAGGTGTGATCTAGATAAGAGTTTCTCACCTAAGTGTTTTATGATAACAAAGACGTTTGGTTAGGTTAGGTTCCTCAACTCACACTCAGTCATCATCCAGTTCAACATCACTTCTCATCATCATCAAAACCTTTATGGTGATCGCATCCTAATGTGGTCAAAAACATAATTATAATCACAGATCAAAATAAATTATACATCTGTTATGGTCGCTGTATGGAGTGTCAGGACCCTTCTGGATACTGGCACATATGAACCTTCCTTACTCGTGCCAGGGACAATTTAGCCAACCCGGGGTGGACATCCAGTACCGGGTGAAGGGTCTTTTCAACATAAGACGACTCCAGGCAGGAACAAAGGTGTCGGTAACTTCCATTACTGAACTTCAGTATGCAGACGACCTCACCCTTGTCACTCACTCTGAACGCACCTCTACAGGAAATCCTGAACACCTACACAGATGTCTTCAGCTGTAGGGAACTGAAATTATCTACAAAGTTACACGTATATTGAGCAGTGGTCCTCCCCACCCTGCTGTATGGCAGCGAGACATGGGTCACATACAGGAGGCACCTCAAGGCACTTGACAACTTTCACCATGGTAGTCTCCGTGCCATCCTCAGAGTTCGCTGGGAAGACAAGAGAACAAATGCCAGTATTCTTGCTGACACCAACTGTAGGAGCATCGAGGCTACCATTATCCATGAACAACTACGCTGGACTGGCCATGTTACCCGCATGGACGACAGTAGACTGCCAAAGCAGCTACTTTACAGTCACCTAACGAAGAGTAAACGTAACGCTGGCGGGCTGAGAAGGTATAAGGATAGTCTTAAGACAAACCTGAAAAAGTGCTAATCGACCCCTCACCTGGGAGACGATTACTCCACCAGTAACGCTTGGAGGAGCACCACACAAGAAGGTGTCAATCACTTTCGAGTTAGCACGACTGTATACCGAGGCAGACAAGCGCCAACGCCGGAAAGACGCTGCTGCCGCCCCTCCCCGCACTAGATGTAGCCCCCCACACATGCAGCCTCTGTGATCGACTCTGCCGGTCCTGTATCGGCCTCTTTAATCACCTCACAACTCACCAACAAAGGTGACATCTTAATAACTCATATCATTGTATCATAGCTGGATGATATATTACCAGTGTGTGTGTGTGTGTGTGTGTGTGTGTCTGTGTGTGTGTGTGTGTGTGAGTACAAACAATATACATAGACTGCACGTATACAATCAACAGTAAACAAGGTCAATTTAACCAAGACCTGTTCAGCAAAGTCAGATATTATAAACTTATTCCTTGTTAAGAAAGATAACTGCAGCCCCACAGCAGTCTGGAGCATAACACACCAGGAGGTCCAATAATCGGGAAATGTCTGGATTCTCAGTCTGCCGAGACCTAACGTGACCAAACCTAACTCAACCATAACCCAACTCAACCATCAAAACCATAACCAAATCAAATACCACTACCCAACCGATTTACCAACCAACCCTAACCCTGTTACCTAACCCCATCCATAACCCAACCCTATCTCACACCATAACCTCAAACCTAACCATATAACCCAACCATAACCAAACCTTCTTCTCCATAACCCAACCTTGAATCAAAATGACTTACTCATGTGGGTGTGAACTTTGAACTTCGGTAAAATACTACGCGCCAGGTGAGAGCTCAGGTAGGTGAGGGGGGTGAGGGGGGGGGTGAGGAGGGGGGGTGAGGAGGAGGGAGGGGGTGGATGGGTGTGCGGGTATGGAGTGGGGGAGTAGGGTGTGGGTGGATGGGTGGGTGGGGACAGGAGGGGGGGGAGGGGGGGGGGTCGTGGAAGGTCGAATGAGAGTGGTAGGAAGGAGAATGTTGCCTGAGAGAGAGGGAGGAGGAGGAGGGAGGAGGAAAGGAGGACGAGGAGGAGGAAGAAGGTGGAAGAGGAACAAAGAGGGAGGAAGAAGGAACAAGAAGAACAAGAGGAGGAGGAGGAGGAGGAGGAAGAAAGAGGTGGAGGAAGGAGGTTAACCACCCCATACCTCCCGGCCTTGTGAGCATTACGAGAGGTCAGGCTGGTCATTACACGATAGGTATCACCTGAAGATTACACACCCCCGTCACCACAGACAGACAGACAGACTAACTAAGAGACAGACAGACAGGCAGACAGACAGACAGACAGGCAGACAGACCTAACTAAGAGACAGGCAGACAGACTAACTAAGAGACAGACAGACAGGCAGGCAGACAGACAGACAGGCAGAACAGACAGACTAAGAGACAGACAGACAGGCAGACTAACTAAGAGACAGGCAGACAGACTAAGAGACAGACAGACAGACAAACTAACTAAAGAGACAGACAGACAGACTAAGAGACAGACAGACGACAAACTAACTAAGAGACAGACAGACAGACAGACTAAAGACAGACAGACACACAAACTAACTAGAGAGAGACAGACAGACAGACAGACAGACAGGCAGACAGACAGACAGGCAAACAGACAAACCTCAGGACAAAGAGTAATCACTTTGTTAACATCAGCTAAGACAACTGAACGCCTTTGTTGATATAGTTTGAGTGTGTGTACGTGTGTGTGTGTGTGTGTGTGTGTGTGTGTGTGTGTGTGTGTGTGTGTGTGTGTGTGTGTGACGTGTGTGTGTGTGTGTGTGTGTGTGTGTGTGTGTGTGGACGTGTGTGTGTGTGTGTGTGTGTGTGGACGTGTGTGTGTGGGTGTGTGTGTGTGTGTGGACGTGTGTGTGTGTGTGTGGACGTGTGTGGACGTGTGTGTGGACGTGTGTGTGTGTGGACGTGTGTGTGTGTGTGTGTGTGTGTGTGGACGTGACTGACCTGAAATGTGTGTCTGGGGTTCTGTTCTCTCTCCTCTATCTCTCGTCTGGAGGAAGAGGTGAGGAAGGGTGAGAGGTGAGGAGAAGAGGTGAGGGGGGAAGGGTGAGAGGTGAGGAAAGAGGGTGAGGGGTGAGGGAAAGACGTGAGGGGGTGAGAGAAGAAGGTGAGGGAAGACGTGAGAGGTGAGGGAAGACGTGAGGAGAGGGGGGGAAGAGGTGAGAGGGGAGGGAAGAGGTGAGGGGGTGAGGAGAGGTGAGGGGTGGGGGGAGGGAGGCGAGGGGTGAGGGAAGTGGGGAAGGTGAGGGAAGGTGAGAGGTGAGAAGACGTGAGAGGTGAGGAAGAGGTGGGGAGGTGGGGAAGGGTGGGGAGGTGAGGGGAAGAGGGGGGAGGTGGAAGACGTGAGAAGGTGAGGGAGCGTGAGAGGTGAGGGAAGGGTGAGAGGGTGAGGGGAGAAGACGTGAGGGGTGGGGAAGGGTGGGGGTGAGGAAGGCAGTGAGAGGTGGGGAAGGGGTGGGGGTGAGGGAAGACTGTGGGGAGGGTGAGGGGAAGACGTGAAGGAGGTGGGGAAGACTTGTGGGAGGTGAGGGTGAGGGGTGAGGGAAGACGTGAGGTGAGGAAGACGTGAGAGGTGGGGGGAAGAGGTGAGAGGGAGGGGGAAGGGTGAGGTGGGGGAAGACTAGGGGTGAGAAGGAACAGAGGTGAGAAAACCTGAGAGGTGAGGGAAGAGGTGGGGGGAGGTGAGGGGAAGGGGTGGGAAGGTGGGGGAAGGCGTGAGGGGTGGGGAGGGCCGTGAGGAAGGGGGGAAGACGTGAGGAGGTGAGGGGGGGGGGAGACGTGGGGGTGAGGGAAGACGTGAGGGGTGAGGGAAAGACGTGAGAGGTGGGGAGACGTGAGATGGGGAGAGGAGGTGAGGAGGTGAGGGGAGACGTGAGGTGAGGGAAGAGGTGAGGAGGTGAGGGAAGAGCAGTGGGGAGGTGAGGGGAGAGCAGTGGGAGGTGAGGAAGGAGGTGGAGGTGAGGGGAAGGGAGAGGTGGGGAGAAGTGAGGTGAGGGGAGAGCAGTGGGGAGGTGGGAAGGCAGTGAGGAGGTGAGGGAAAGGAGTGGGGTGAGGGAGGCTGTGAGGGGTGGGGGAGGGTGAGGGGTGGGGGGAAGAGCGTGGGGAGGTGGGGAAGGAGGTGGTGGGGAAGACGTGAGGAGGTGGGGGGAGAGAGTGGAGGTGGGGGAGACTAGTGAGGGTGAGGGGAGAGACAGTGGAGGTGAGGGAAAGCGTGAGAGGTGGGGAGAGGTGAGGTGAGGGAAGACGTGAGGGTGAGGGAAGAGGTGAGGGTGAGGGAAGAGGGAGAGGTGAGGAAGAGGGAGGTGAGGGAAGAGGGAGGTGAGGAAGGGGAGGTGAGGGAAGGGGGAGGTGAGGAGAAGACGTGAGGTGAGGGAAGATGTGAGGGGGTGAGGGAAGAGGTGGAAGGTGAGGGGAAGACGTGAGGGGGTGAGGGAAGAGGAGAAGGGTGAGGAAAGACGTGAGGGGTGAGGAAGGAGAAGTGAAGGGTGAGGAGAGACGT